AACGCTGGCATAAGTGTATTATATCTGGGGGGGACTACTTTGAAGGGGACCACATTAATGTAGACGAATAAATAAATATTTTTTTGAAAAAACGAAAATTCCGGGTACTTTTTGAACAGACCTCGTATATGTATATTGTTATCAATTTATAATAAATTAAAATTTTCAATATTGAAAAATTAACGAAATATGTGTCAATCATAGACATTGCACTGCTATTATTAGACATTATACTATTACTGTAGTATAAGGTATATGGTGTTAATATACATTTTATGAGTTTTAATTTATGTTAGTAGAACTCTCGAATATTTTATGTTTATTATAATATTATTTTTAAGTAGATATATAACAATTTTTTACGATGGCCTAAGTGAATTTTTCGCTCTTCATAATCTGCAAGAAAACTAATTATTACAAAAATTTATTTTTGTTATTCAATAATTCAATTAATTGGCCCTTACAAAGTAATGTGCAATATTTACTAATAACATCTGCAATAGTTAGTATATAACCAGAGTTTTTATTTTATCGTCAATTCTTATGTTATATTTAAAATTTTCAAGTTAGTATATATAGAGTCGTGATTTGTTATGATTATATGTTGCTCAATAATACAATAAAGTGTATTCCAGAACGTCAGACTAGCTTACAACCTGCTTAATATCTCAATTTTGAAATCAAGTTTTTATTTCAATAATTTAATTTTTATATTTCGAGTGGTAAAAACGACTTACACTACTTCTTCCCTGAATCGAGTTGGAGTTTAACTCAGTTCACCATCAGTTTTTAAAAGTGAAGTATTAATTGACTCAAAGTAATAAAACTACAAAGGCATTATGAGATTAGTGCCTTAACGCTTAGTTTAAAATAATAAGTTATAATAATATCTGCGTACATAAATGTATGGGTGTATGTGTCAAATCCTGCATTTGTTATTTATTAAACAAAAATAAAAAATAACTAGTTGTGTATGGTATCGTGGTCTAAGGTTAATTGCTGGAACTTTCTGTAACGTAATAAAAATTTCGAGGAATATAAAATGTTTTCAAACAGATTTTTATAACAACTGTAACTTATATGTTCAAACAAAACTGAATAAACAAAACTTAATCAAATGAATTTAAAATTTAAAATTTATAAGAATTATATAAACTGAAGTGCAAAGTTAAAATTATTTATTTGAAGTATACAATTGAGAAGCAAATAATTTAGAACTTTTGCTAAAAAAATGAAAATTCAAATTATTTTCGATATTCACTTTTTCGAAGGTATACCAAAAAATTCAGAAACCTTCAGAACGTGAAGAAATGTAAACATTTCCAATTTCGATTTTCGAACGGTTAAAATAACTTACCCTACGGGAAGTTAAAAATGTCTAATATAAACAGTAAATATTAAGTAATTAGAAACAAATTATAATTCAGCATGTTTTAATGATATACATACAATTAAAATTCAGCTACGTAAGATATATTAGTTTTAATTTAAATTAGAAATAATATAATTTACGTATATAAGTTAGATTTTTAAATATTACAAATAAACTTTTGAAATAAATATTTATAATTAAATGTGTCGAGTTATATGAAAACAATAACTGAAATGCAATGCAAGCAAACAATTAATTTAACGTAATTACACAAAAATTACTAGCCTTTATAAAAAAGTTATACATTAAACATTATTCATAAATCAATATACATCTAAAAACTTTAAATTGGTTAATGTAGACACATTCAAGCTTGAAAAGAATCGTTCAAAAATATAATTCTCAATAAGTTTTACTTTCTAGTTCTTCTTAATTAAACTATTTTTATTCTAACATAATTGTTACATTTCTGTAAATAAAAGCACAATGAGTATTCTGCAGTTTTTTGACTATCAGTATAAAGTAAACAGCAATTGATCAATTTGAATAGATACATAATCAATACCAACAATAGTATAAAAAGTGAGTGTTACATACAATTATTGATGAAAAATCAGAAAATTTTGTTTGTAAGAACATTATTTAAGATATAAAAGCTTTACAGAATATATATATATATATATATATATATATATATATATATATATAAATATATATATTATGCGCAGCTTTTATATTTTCATCAGAACATAAATTAATTTAAAATCGCCTCACAATTTGCAAAATCATTCAGCACCATTCAACGCCGCAACAATAAATTTCTTCATTTCTCGCCGCGTAATTAACCCCGCTCCGGCTAATAGACTGTACTAATTAAATGTATTTCGATATTTTATATAGCTATAGTATCCTAATGACCAACTCTGTAGAAGTAATTAAGTCATAATTATCGTAACGACGTGAGTTGACCGTAATCAATTGTTAAATTTTACCAGAAGCTAGTACAGACACAAAGCTTTGATTGATCGAGCGTTAATTGCTAACATGTATTTAGAATCGAGCAAATATTGATGCAGTATTAGATATTGGAAAATAGCAATAGTAAATCCTAGAACACAAAGTAAACTATTACATTAGATCTCAAATTCTTGACTTATTTGTACAAATCTTTGAACAAAAATAGTTGAAGAGAATATATTGAAAATAGGAAATCACCAGTGCCTTTTCTATGCATATACCGACCAAGGTTCCAAAGAGTTTTTTTTAACTTTCCAAAAAAAATAGAATCAATTCTATAAAATTTCTTCTCGTTCTGGTTAGTTTTTGGTAAAGATCAGCCAGTCATTAATTGGTTCAATTATTTTTGATGGTCTCTATCAAATTTTGTATAAAGAGTTCATGAACATTAGGAACATCTTACATGAAATATTACAGATCTACGAAAAGTGGGTAAGTACAAAAAATTATTGGAAATTGTTCTTAATAAAAATTGGAAACTTTATATTTGAAATAAATATCAATTTTAGATAATTTTAGAAGAGCTACATTTTATTAATCTTTTGAAATAAATAAATTAATTATTAGTAAATTTTTTTGTGGTATTTACTCTCTCTTTTATATAGGTAGGACTCTCTTATATTTTGATGTCAAGTACATTGACTATATGGATTCATGTGGGTGCTAAGGACCACAAAAACAATTGAAAATTATATTTAAAATTTGGAGCCATTAAGCTTTATATGCTTACTCATTTCATAAAAGGTTTAGTGATTATATAAAAAGATTTCAAAATTTTTGCTACATTCACTCGGAGTTGTATTTTTTGCGACAACCACTGCGCTCGACGCAGGTTTTGATTAATTGAATTAAAAGTGAATTGCAAGTTTGGTAATTTATGTTTGTTTGTCCTGTTTGATATAAACCATATATATTTATGAATAATGAACAGAAACTGATAATATATATAAATTTTATGGTTAGCTTGAAGCAACTTCAGTATGATTGATTATAATTCAGATCAGTAATATGATTGCATTTGTGAATTATACATAAAGCTTACATAAATTATTTAATGTAATCCAGCTGTTGTCATTTGATTTTACAGATACGAATAAATTTCACATGCATAATTAAACAATTAACAATTTACAAGGCGAAATAAAACAAATGAGCAACTTTGTATGATATTATTACAAGCACGTGTGCTATATATATTTTATGAACTGGTTATGAATTTGACTACGTTAACAAAATAAATGTTGGTTTGGTTTAAATATTGACTTTTATTTCAATTTTTTTCAAACCTATTGTTTACGTAGAAACAATCAAGTTATGTAACTAAAAATTTAGGATTTGGAATAAACGAATTAAATTAATTCAAGAACATTCAAACGTACATTTAAAATTTTACAAATGTTGTTTGATTACTATGAGGAATAAAGATTTATTTATTATTTTTACTATTTCAAGATAATTGAATATTCTGAAATAATTATACGTAAGCCGTACTATATTATTTTGCATTTAGAACAGACGAGAAAAACAAGTTGCCTTTGTGTTCACAATAGTGTTTTTGACGCGAGCATTTTTCTTAGTAAAACTTCTTTGTTGGCGCTGCAGACAGCAAATTATTCCGTTTGTCGGTAACGTTTCAACAATAATATTATCGTAATCAGACTGCTATTGCCCACTGACTTTGTGGTAATACTTTGGATAGTCTTAAAGAAATAATATCAAAGAAAAGTTAGTTTCTTTGGGTTTTTTATATACACAGTTTCATTGAAAACATTTTTTTGACCGCAAACAAAATTACACTGTGATTCAAAAGTACAACATAATTTAAAATTTATAGGTCGAATCAATATAAATAATTATCAAAAGCAAATATAATTTAAAGACGAGTACGAAAAATTATCAATTCGTAAGATTCGTAGCAAGAGCGTAAAAGTACAAGGCGCCTCCACCGCAAGGTTTCTCATTCTCCTAATTTGATTTTCTTTATGCATGTATTATTGTGTATTAAATTAAACTATATGATTTGTTGAATTTGCTAGTATATTAGAAAGTTACTCATTTATAATTTTAGTAATTTTCATTATTTATGTTTATAATTTTATTATTTTTATGTTAATAGGATACAACAAAGTAACATATATTGTTATTGGAACAATATATACTAAATTCTATATACTATAGTACTCAGTTTTTTTATTTAGTTGGTAATTTCGAAGCAGATACGGGAAGCTCTTGAATAATTTAAAATATTTTCTATAATATTCCTTGAAATCTTATTTTATGTGTGTAGTAGTTTCAAATAAAAACATGTCACTACTTCTTAGTATCAGGGTTATCAAACTAACTTTGAACAATAAACATTTCAGATACTAAATTTATTGGTTTTATCTCTAAAACATTTGTATCAAATCTCCTGTTCCTGAATCTTTTATTTATGAGTGTTTAATATAAATTAATGTATTAGAAATTATACATCAATACGTTTTATTTTATCAAAGTATGTCTGTTTACTAAAAAAACTATTTAGACTATGAACTTTTATTATTAAGATATCAATAATGCAATATTTATCAAATATAAAAATATTGAAATACAAATAAATAAATGATCTCACCATTATTTATGTCTTCGGCCCTTTTAGAATCTAATGCTCTGTGCTTACGACCTGTAAAAAAAGAAATCCATATATTGCATACAGATATTTAACAAATTATGAACATTATTTAAAAATATGCAAAGAAATCTGCTTCCCTTCGTATTCTAGACAAATATCACAGTACAACTCGTAAGCAAAAATGAATGTCTTAATCCCGTATTTTGTATATGAATAGTAATTAAGTCAGGTACCACAAAAGTACGAATGACTTAACTTTAATCTACCTTATTAGCCAAGTTTGTTTTACCCCGTACAGAACTGCTCCTCAGTACATGTTAAGGATAATACCTGCTTTAGAAACTAAAAGCATTAAAATTTTTGTAATTGCCGCTAAAACCGTGCCAATGTACAACATAAAATACAGTGGGGCTTATAAAAAGTATTTACAAAGTAAAGAAATATATATATATACTAGCTGACCCGACAGACGTTGTTCTGTACCCACGTCTACAATGTTTCAATATTTTATACTAATATTTACTGCTTAGTTAAAAATAATAATTACTGTTTTTTGAATTACTATTTACACCAATATATGAGTGACGTTGAATGTAGAACTGTTTCAAATAAAATGATTGTTCTCAATTCCCACGGTTAACACTTTACTTATTCATTTAACAAAAAATGTTCAATAAAATTGTATATTAAAAATTATACACTGCGATTTATAGAACAAATTTATTTCCAATAGCTCAATTTATTTTATTGCATTTAAGGGTTATATAGTATTTTTAGTCATACCTGTAGGTGTAGGTGTGGATGTATAAATGAATAATTTTTTGTTTATTCACGACTAAAACATTGATTTTCCAAATTTATTACACTAAAAATGATCGTCTGCCTTTTTGATTTATGGTCATAGCATAAGAGACTCGTGTTGAAAATTGAAATCTTTTAAAAATTACAACAAATTCAGAAAGAATTAATATATAGCATTCGCGGCAAAGGTGCAATATCACCTTTTATTTTTCTACCCAAAATAATTGCTTCAATAATGTTGCCTATAATTTTTATAATTTCGTACCATATTTTAACTGGCTTTTAGTAATTTAAATATCTAAATTACATTTTTTTCCAATAAATCAATATACGTTATTGCTTAAGTTTATATTTGAAGAGAATTAATTTGTCAAATCCTGTTCACATCTGCTCTATTCAACTTAGGATCAACAAAATTATTGCTCTGTGAATTTTTTTACTGTGCTCCAATTTACTTGATATTTTGGAAATAGGCTAATCTTTATCTTAAGTTCAGAAGTGAAATCAATTTGCACTCCGTCACCATCCACCGCATTAATTGGATTATTACTCTTTTAATTCTGATTTTATCAGAACTTGTAATACACTATTTTAAAGATGAATAAATGAGCTACAACTTTCTCTATCATAAATTTTACCGTAACTTCTCTTATTGTGAAACGGCGAAGGGTTAAAGGGCTCGAAAGACCTCTGGTTGGACAGCCACGCACTCCTTAATTAATACCTCTATCAATATTTGTGTAATGGAAAAATAATGAACAACAATAATTAGTCAGAAAAATACTTCGAATTTTCATATATATATACTTTTATACGTATTCTTCCAGAGATATTATAATGAGAAATTGGATGTTTTTTTAATGTTTTTTTTTCATAAAATCATTAGTTTTTTGAAAATCGTTTGTACTAAAGTTGTGGTATTTTCTAGAATCCATCAAAATCCCTTAAACCAAGTTAATTCTAGATGGAATACGATTATTTTTACATTTGGTGGAAATGGCACTGAAAAACTATTTGATTTATATGAAAAAACATTATATGCGTCTTTTATTTGCATGATAGTTTACTCATTTTACACTTAGAAGTACTCAATTTAAAGCTTATTTTGAGCACTATAAAAACCCATTTTCATATCTAGCCTAATAATGTTCCTAAAACACTATAAAATAGCAATTTATTAAGATTTTAATTGATATAATTTTGTTCATTACATGATTTTCGTTAAAATGTATATTTTTGAAGATATTAGCAAAAAATGATGAAAAACGCAAAAAAGAAACAAATTTTCAGTAGCCAGTAACTTGAAAAGTATTTGCTTTTTTGAAAAACATTATTAAACATTTTTCTCTTATAATTAGTTCTTTTATCGATACCCAACGTTATTTTGAAAAAAGTAAAATTACACCACTGAAAAGAAATGTCATCCACCCGAGAAGTGGTAAAGGAGTCTAAATTGTTTTCACTTCTGAAGAGTAAATAAACCTAGTTCCAAAATTCCAAACGAAATGGAAAGCAGTAAAAAAAGTTCAGACCGAAAGCGCTTCATTGAGTAAATATTCCGTACCCAATGACAAACATATGAATTTTTGACACAATGAAACTTCTAAATATTTTTTTTGTATTGTGACTTAGTATAGTAAGGCAAAACGACGTCTCCTTTGCACGAATTCATACGACGAATCTGTTCGCAAAGTGCGCAAACAAAATTATTGCAAGCAAAAGCAAACCACGCGCACGTTGAGAACACGATTCGCCGTGCGCGTCAGTCGCATGCGCAGACTGTCAGACGCTTGTTATATTATTTGCATCTTATATTAATTTAATTTTTGGCACATCTCAGCTGCTTTTCGGCATTAATAATGTAGACATTACATTTTCCTTATTCATAATCATGAATTTATTATATTTTAATATTGCCTTAGCCTATAAGTGAATAGAAATGTTTGGCAAATGACAGTCTTCAATTGTTTTTAATGTCAAACTAAGCTTCAAATATTTTCAAGGGTAAACAATGATAAGCGGTTTTTTGTAATTTTTTCTATTTATATCTACAATCTAACTATATTTCTATGAATCAAAACATTCTAGAAAATTTCCCGAACAAACTTCAGGAAGATTCATAAAAATCCGAATTATAGTTTAGGAGGAAAAATGAAACTTACATTGTTACAGAATAATTTTATATATAAGATATATATATATATATATATATATATATATATGATACAGTTTTGCAGCCTATATATATAGAATATTAATTTGTTAAAACAAGTAACATTAAATAATAAACTTTAATTTTTTTCCATGCGTTTTGACGTACAATCCTAAGTCATCATCAGTGAATAAAATTTTTTTGGAAAGACAAACACACTGATAGCAATACAATGTAGAGAAATTGCTTTTTGTATTCAGTTCTATTTTTATATAAAATGATCATGTTCAAATAGATTTTTCTTGACATATGAGGTAAAATTCAAAATTCATATAATTAGCATACATACATGATATATATATATATATATATATATATATATATATATATATATATATAAATAAATATATATGTATATGTATATATATCATATATCTTATATTTATATATGTGTGTGGGCATGTGTTGATCTTGATTTATGTTCCACACATAGAAGCGAGCTCGTCCTAGTGTAATATGCACATACAGCGACAGGGAAAATAAATCCTAATGAATACATTTAATGAAATAATCCATCACAGTACCCCCAAGTGCTCGGGTCTCTTGAGAGTTTCATAATTACCTTTCAGAAATTCATTACACTTATGTGTGCACGCCTCGGTATGTTACTTAAGAAGAAAAATAGCAAAAAATATAATATTTAAATGATTTTTGTTTGAGATCGATTAGATTTTTATTATAATTAGATTAAATTATTTAAGCATTAGAAAATAATTCTGTCTTGAAAATAATGCTCATATTTTTATTACAAACTTACTGAGCAAAAGATCGCATTTGAAAAGTTGTTCGCATTTTGTGGGTTATTTTTCATGATTAAAATCGTTTTTTAAATTTTCTGAAACTATTACAATTTGTTAGTTATTAATTGTTAGTAATAGTATTTATGATTAGAGTAAATCTAGCAGATAAATATCCAATACACAGCTATCTGCACTTGCGTTTTGAATTCATTTTATTCTATATAATTTAATAATACTGTTTGCGCCGCACCTGCATAGGTTGTCGGACCTGTAAAAGGTTTGTTTTTCTACTCGGACAACACGTTTCAAATTTATGCAATCGAGCTATTCTGACTCATAAAAAGGCCCATGCAGGCAACAATGGGATTCAAGTCTATTCTTTCCATGGTTTTTTTCATTCATTCGGTTTAATTCATTCATTTCAGTTACTTCCAATCAGGACATTCAGTTCTTTTCAGTGTTTGTTATCAGTTCAATGTTATCAGTGGATTAAGTTTCTATTGTGTGTCAAGTCAACCAATTATTTTTTTGTTATCAGTGTATTTGAATTCCATTTCAACATTTCCAACCGACTACGCTGATCCAACCAAGTAGCTGCTGGCTTGGAGTTCCAAACAGATAACATTTTTCATGCAATATTAATTAGTGTTCATTTTTGTTTTTCATTTATATAAAATTTATATAGAATATATTTTAGTTTATTATTAATTACGGCTTAAGAAAAACTTTGTTTTTAATTTATATTTGTTTTCTAATTGGTTTTTGTTTTCTGAATACATTCATTTTTTTTATTTTTTCCTCGCAGTATTAAATACTTCGAAAGGGGTTGAGAAACCCCCCAACATCAACATTTGGTCTTTCGAGCCGGATCCTAAATATTATTAGGATTAATTGGGTGTATACAGAAAACAAAAACATATAATGGCGCCTAAAATCGATATTGGTGCCGAAATTGCACGTCTAACCGCCAAGAGAGAGATGTACTTTTCAATTGTTCAAGAAACGTACGATCTATCGCAACAAATTATAAACTTCCAAATAAGACACAATTTCTTGATAATTTATGTATTACGCAATGAAAATGCTCGAGAACAATTTATTCAATTGTGCGATGAAATAAATAAATTAAAATACCTAGATACTCCTAGTTTTATTCCGGAATATTTCGCAATGTATGCCAAAATTAATGCTGATGGCTATGGAATTATCTAACAACATAAAGGTTTTATTGTAAATAAAAAATTATATTTCGTAATATTGTTAATCAATTCTCTTTTTTTTAAATAACAGTTATGAAACAATAAGTTAGCTAGTTAAGTTAATAGGTTTTGTAAATATTGAATTTTTATACGTATAATATATTTAATACAAAATAAAAATACACAGGCTGATTAATAATACAAAGCATGAACTGACTGAACAATAAATGATTAAGTTTCGATATGTTAGACTTAGTTTGTTTCAAAAAAAGTGTAAATTATATATTATGTGCTTTACTATTACAAGGATTTTTAGTATGATGATCAAAAATATCTGAACTATAATAATTTCAGCAAATTTTACTTGTATTTATAAAGCAATATCAAATTATACGTGTTC